CGGGGTATTATTTATTTATTTATTTATTGCATTTCTATGCTGGCTTTCTCAGCCCGAAGGCAACTCAAGCGGCTTACACTGGCACGATTCGATGCCGCAATGAACATAAACAAAATTAAAACATTTAACACACATTATAAAAAACCTGTAAAAAGCATTAAAAGCATAAAACACCAGTAACTTCCTGTTAGCTCATTTTCCACAGACATTGTCAAGCCGTTCCATGTTCATTCTTTCTTGGGTTCCATATTCATCCATTACACTGCATTTTCAAAGGCTTGTTCAAACAGCCAGGTTTTAATTTTTTTTCGGAATGTCAGTAGGGAGGGGCTGATCTAATATCCCTAGGGAGGGAGTTCCACAGCCGGGGGACACACCACTGAGAAGGCCCTGTCTCTTGTCCCCGCCAGGCAGGATCGAGAGCAGGGCCTCCCCTGATAGGGTAAATAAATAAACAAACAAACAAGCCTTGCTTCCACAACGAGCCAATTTTTTCAAAATCCAATTCTCACAGGGACAGAAAGTGAAGTGAAGTCTTCAGAACGGGCACAGAAGCAAAACAAACACCACAAGGATGTTATCCCTTTTCAAAGCAATTCAAAACTCTCTCTCTCTCTCTCTCTCTCTCTCTCTCTCTCTCTATATATATATATATATATATATATATATATATATATATATGGATGTGTGTGTGTGTATATATGTACACACACACACATGACTGGTGGTACACTTTAAAAACGCACCTATTCAAATTTACATGCAAACTCAATTTAAAAACAAACCTACAGAACTTATCGTGTTCATAGCTTTGGGACTGCCTGTAGTATTGAGTCTTTTTTGGTGTGCCATGGTTAGAGACCTCTTATCAAGGAGTTTTCCAGGCAAGATTTGTTCAGATTTTTTTAAAAAACTTTGCCTTCCTCTAAGGCTGAAAGAGTGTGACTTGCCCACAGTCTTCCAAAAGGGATTTGAACACCAGTCTCCAGTGTCCTAGGTTATATACTAGAATCAATGTAGTTTGACATCTTGTTGACTACCATGGTTCAATGCTATAGGACTCCAGGGAGGTGTAGTTTGGTGAGATACCCACTCTCTTTGGTGAGGGTGGCTAAAGATCTTGTAAAACTACAACTCCCATGAATTATTGAGCCATAGTAGTTAAAATACTGTCAAATGATTTCTACAGTGTAAATATACCCTTGGAAAAAGAACCTCTGGAAAGCTACAACTCAACAATAAAACGATTATAGTACGGTACTTCATTAAAAGCTTCTTTTTGTTTGGAGGATTTTTTTTACTTTGCCTACACTTGAGGCTGAGAGAATGTGACTTGCTCACAGTCATTCATCAGGGCATTAACCCTGATCTCTAGTATCCTAGGCTGTATCAAGTCGCCACTGTAGAATGAATGTAGTTTGACATTACTTTAACAGACATGGCTCAATGCTTGGGAATCCTGGGAGCTGTAGTTTGGTGAGGAAGCAGCACTCTTTGGCAGAGGGCAGACCTACACAGACTAATAATAATCCAATGTGGCACACATGGGAAACATAGGTGGCACTGAGAACAGTTGTGGCCAGTGCATTCTGGAATTCAGATTTTTTTTTATTGTGTCAGAAGCGACTTGAGAAACTGCAAGTTGCTTCTGGTGTGAGAGAATTAGCCATCTGCAGGGACATTGCCCAGGGGTCACCTGAATGTTTTACCATCCTGTGGGAGGCTTCTTTCATGTCCCTGCATAGGAAGCTGGAGCTGACAGATGGGAACTCACTCCATCTTGCAGATTCGAACCACTGACCTTCAGGTCAGCACTTCAGCCATCACAAGGGATTAACCCATCGCGCCACTGCAGGTACTAGAATTCGGATTATCCCTAACTTTAGTTAACATGGGGCAAGGCTGTGTTAAGGTGGCCTTATTCCATGTTTCCCAGATCAACTCCACATGTCATTGGGCTGCAACGGAGCTGATCCTGCCGCACATCAACCTAAGTGGTCAGTGGAGATGTGCCCAACAAGGCTAAAGATCTTTTAAAACTACAACTCCCACGATTCCATTATGTTAAGCCATGTCATTTAAAGTGGTGTCAAATTGCATCGTTTCTACAGTGTATACGCGCCCTCAGAATCTTGCAGAGAAATTAACAAGGCTGCTTAAATCAAGTACAGTCTGGAACAACTTTTCGTGGTCTTGTGCCAAATCAAGTGTCAGTCCCTTGGTTTTTTTTTTATGGCAGCAATAGCTTTTTCCGTATGATGATGCTAAAATGTGTTTGCTTAGTTGTCTCACAAAATTACAACTCCCATAATTTAATAGCATTGGGCCGTAGCAGTTAAAGTAACATCCAACTTCATTAATGTTACAGCATAGATTCATCCTCCGCTTACTCTTGGTGCATTGTTTATATTGGAAGTCAGTATCAATGAAATATTCCAGCTTCAAAGCTGAAATGTTTGGATAATTCCTTAAACAAAGCTCAGGCAGTTACCATTGATATGAATGACTATGACAACTGAATAGTAGTAGGATAGTGCTCCGGGTGTCAGAGCATCATCCCAAAACTGCTCTGTTATGCTCAGAAGTAAGACCCACTGAACATCCTGAAAATAGCTTCAGAGGCATTTTCTATACTGTCATATCATGCATTATATCAGGGGTTCTCAACCTGGGGGTCGGGATCCTGAGGGGGGTCGCGAAAGGGTATCAGTGGGGTCACCAAAGCCCATCAGAAAACACAGTAATTTTTGTTGGTCATGGGGGTTCTGTGTGGGAAATTTGGCCCAATTCTATCATTGGTGGGTTAATAATGTTCTTTGATTGTAGGTGAACTATAAATCCCAGCAACTACAACTCCCAAATGTCAATGTCTATTTTTCCCGAACATCACCAGTGTTCACTTTTAGGCATATTGAGTATTTGTGCCAAGTTTGGTCCAGATCCTCATTGTTTGAGTCCACAGTGCTGTCTGAATGTAGGTGAACTAAACTCCAAAACTCAAGGTCAATGCCCACGAAACTCTTCCAGTATTTTCTGTTGGTCATGGGAGTTCTGTGTGCCAAGTTTGGTTCAATTCCATCGTTGATGCAGTATGCTCTATGATTGTAGGTTAACTATAAATCCCAGCAACTACAACTCCAAATGACAAAATCACACCACCACCACCCCGCAACCTCACCAGTATTCAGATTTGGGTGTATTGGGTATTTGTGCCAAATTTGGTCCAGTGAATGAAAATACATCCTGCATATCAGATATTTACATGATTATAGCAAAATTACAAGTATGAAGTAGCAACAAAAATAATTTTATGGTTGGGGGTCACCACAACATGAGGAACTGTATTAAGGGGTCGTGGCATTAGGAAGGCTGAGAAGCACTGCATTTTATGGTCAGTACAGACTCATATAATTCAGCTCTATGCATTATATGACACTGTAAATGTATGTATATATGTATGTATGTGTATGTATATATATGTGTGTGTGTGTGTTTGTGTGTGTGTGTGTATATATATACACACACACACTAGCCGTCCCCTGCCACGCGTTGCTGTGGCCCAGTCTGTGTGTATGTATTATGTGTGTGTGTATATATTTGTGTATATGTGTGGTTGCATATATATATATATATATATATATATATATATATATAGGTTTGTGCATGCATTATAATGTACTTTTTTTTGCTTTTTAAGTTCCTTCTGCTGTGTTTTTCAGTGTTTTTATGAGAAATGGTCACTTGTTGGCCTGATAGGTGTAATTGTGTCCAAATTTCGTGTCAATTCATCCAGTGGTTTTTGAGTTATGTTAATCCCCCAAACAAACATTACATTTTTATTTATATAGATATATCATACTTTGAGATGGAGCCCCCTGTGCCAGCAGGAATGAAGACCGACAGGTCGCAGGTTCGAATCCGGGGAGAATCCCTATGAGGAGCGGCTTAAGGAGCTGGGTATGTTTAGCCTGAAGAAGAGAAGGCTGAGAGGAGATATGATAGCCATGTATAAAGATGTGAGAGGAAGCCACAGGGAGGAGGGAGCAAGCTTGTTTTCTGCTTCCTTGGAGACTAGGACGGAACAATGGCTTCAAACTACAAGAGAGGAGATTCCATCTGAACATGAGGAAGAACTTCCTGACTGTGAGAGCCGTTCAGCAGTGGAACTCTCTGCCCCGGAGTGTGGTGGAGGCTCCTTCTTTGGAAGCTTTTAAACAGAGGCTGGATGGCCATCTGTCAGGGGTGATTTGAATGTAATATTCCTGCTTCTTGGCAGGGGGTTGGACTGGATGGCCCATGAGGTCTCTTCCAACTCTTTGATTCTATGATTCTATGATTCTATGAGAGGCGGATGAGCTCCCTCTATCAGCTCCAGCTCCTCATGCGGGGACATGAGCGAAGCCTCCCACAAGGATGATAAAACATCAAATCATCTGGGCGTCCTTGCAGACGGCCAATTCTCTCACAACAGAAGCGACTTGCAGTTTCTCAATTTGCTCCTGACACGACAAAAAAAATTACTTTGAGATGTAAAGACAATTAATAGGTAATCAGAAATTTAGATGCTTGTTTTGAATGAAACACTAATATATTTGTGTGAATTTGGAAAAAGAAGTTACTGTGCATTTATCTTAATGTCTATTCTCCTCTTCCTTATATTCTCATTGTCAAAATGCCTTGATTTTCCCCCCTACATCTACAGGCCAATCTACTGTAGAATTAATGCAGTTTGATACCACTTTAAGTGCTATTGCTCAATGCTGTAGAGTTCTGGGAGTTGTAGTTTGGTGAGGTACCAGCCCTTGTGAAACTACAACTCTCAGGATTCCATCGCATTGAGCTGTGGCTATTCAAGTGATGTCGAGCTGCATTAATTTTCCATTTTAGACGCACCCTACGACGTTGTCTATTAAAAAAAAGAGCCTGGCACTCATCAGGTCTCCACTTTCCCATAATATTTTGTGTAGGCAATAATGAAGACACCTAAGACGAAGTCTGGGGCTTTGCGCACCGAGGTCCCTTGCACTGAGCCGCTCGCCGAGGCTTTATGTTGACTGCGCATGCGCGAGCTCTTCCTTTTCCAGCTGCGAAGATGGCGGGCGAGGAGTGAGTAGTTGGTCGCTCTGAGTCGTAATCCGTTGCCATCCTTGGTTTTAAAGCATTCTCTCCCGGTTTCGTATTTTCGGGCTTAACCGCGGGAGGCTTCGGAAATCGGGGAGGCTTGTCTTAATGTCTGTACGCGGGATTGTGCAGAGAGAGGGGTTCGCGAGAGTGATGTGGCTGGGACTGAGTCCGTATCCCCTCGGAAATTAGGCCGCGAGGGAGGTCTAGAGAGGGCTCGTTTCTGAGGAAGGGAAGTAATGCCGAATGGGGAGGCGGCATTCATACTGGGTGGCTCCTAGTCCAAATCGAGCCCCTGCTTTGGGCCTAGCAGGTCTTGCAGCCTGTTTGGCGGAGCCTTAGGCCTCACTGCCTGGTGCCTTCATTCACAAGAGGTGCATCTCTACTGCAGAGTTAATGCAGTTGGACACCCCTTAAACTGCCATAATGGAAACCCGGGGTTTGTGTTTTGCTAAGGCACCCGCATTCTTTAACAGAGAAGCCTAAAATGAGGATTCCCATTATTCCATAGCAGTGAGCCATGACAGTCAAAGTGGTGTCATGCTGCTTTCATTTTACAGTCTAGATTTACGAATTCCAGATTGAGCATTCTTTATCCTCCATAATAGTCCACATGGATGGCTGGGAAAGTGATACCTCTGATAATTCAGTGTACACAAGTTTTGTTTCATATGCAACATTGTAACAAAACATTGTGGATACAATTAACAAGACTATGTGAATAAGATATATGTGAAACAAATGAACAGAATATGGCGCAGTGGGTTAAATCGCTGAGCTGCTGAACTTGCTGACCAAAAGATCGCAGGTTCAAATCCGAGGAGCAGTGTGAACTCCCACTGTTAGCCCCAGCTCCTGCCAAGCTAGCAGTTCAAAATCACAAATGTGAGTAGATCAATAGGTACCACTCTGGTGGGAAGGTAACAGCACTCCATGCAGTCATGCTGGCCACAAGACCTTGGAGATGTCTATGGACAACGCCGGTTTTTCAGCTTGGAAATGGAAATGAGCACCAACCTCCAGAGTTGGACATGACTGGACTTAATGTCAGGGGGAAACTTTTACTTAGCCAAGTCTGGTGGGAAAGTAACAACACTCTATGCAGTCATGCTGGCCACAAGACTTTGGAGGTGTCTATGGACAACGCTGGTTTTTCAGCTTGGAAATGGAGATGAGCACCAACCTCCAGAGTTGGACATGACTGGACTTAATGTCAGGGGGAAACCTTTACTTAGCCAAGTCTAAGTTTCTCTTATTGTGTACATATATGCAAATATAGCTATTCCAAAATAATTCTAGTCTCAAGCATTCTGAATAAGGGATACTCAACCTGTATTAATTTTTTTCATGAAACCTGTGGAACTGTGAAGGCATTTTAGGGCAGTGGTTCTCAACCTGTGGATCCCAGGTGTTTTGGCCTACAATTCCCAGAAATTCCAGCCAAGTTTACCAGCTGTTACAATTTCTGGATGTTGAAGGCCAAAACATCTGGGCACCCACAAGTTGAGAACCACTGCTTTAGGGGGAAAGGCACTATAAGTAAAATCTTAACGCCAACCCTTTGATTTGTATATTGACGTAACTGCAAAGCCACAGTGAAGTCTGGAGTGTGTTTTTCCTTTTTTAGTTTGCCTCAATGATCTTTCATGTACTCACAAACAACTGGTAGAAAAAATGCAAAGGATTCTGTTAAACAGTGTTAAAATAATACAGTTCAACCAGCTTTAATTTAGTTTTTTACAGTAGTAAACATGAAAGTTGAGGCTTTTCCAAAATTAGTGACATACAAAAAAAATTGAGAATTTTGTTCCTTGTAGTATAATTGTAACAGTAGGAGTTTAGTAAATGTATTTGTTATATTTATTTCTCAATAATATAGGTTCTTTGGATGTCATTTGTGCTATTAATACATTTAACATGAGATCCATAAATCATAGTACAGGAAATTAACAGCCTAAAAAGCATGCTAAACATAAATAATAATAAAATAAAAATGTTACAAAATGTATCTGAAAAGAAGCTTGAAATTAATAACGGACCTTAATATATAAAAACAAGTATAGACTTCATTAGATTTTTGTGTATTTTTGTTTGTTTATTTTATGATATTTAGGGCAAAGAAGAAGCTCCCCTCAGTTCCTGAAAGCCTTTTGAAGAAAAGGAAGGCTTTTGCTGAGCTAAAAGCCAAACGTCTGAAGAGGATGTTGGCTCAAAAGAAGGCAAGTATTATAAAGCACAGTGTTCCATAGTTTTTTTAAAAGTTCAAGTCATTGGACCTTGGGACTTATTCCCTCATAAGTGCATTTATAATTCTAGCTTGATTTCTGTAGGAAATTATAGCATTCTCTATGACTTCAAGTGGATTCTGGAGAGAGCAGAAACTGACTTTATTTCCAAACTACTTGGTTTGTCTGCTTTTTGTGTTTGGTAGCTTCATAACTACTGGGGACTGTAAAATGTATAAAACAAACTGACTTGTCTATTTTGTTCCCCACTATCTTGTTAATCCTACACCTCTTCTGCCCACAAGCAACTATAACTGCTACCAGAGTTATTTTTCAGAAATATATGCAGCTGCTTTTTAACAGAACTCTTCATTTACTGGCTTACTTCTTCTCTCCTGTCATTTTCCCATCAACCAATCATATGAAAATCTTTAAAATGTATGTGTTGATCCACAGAAGAAAAGACCTTTATGTATGGCATGCATTGTATCCTAGAGTAAAGTCAGAGTTTGAAGTGCTTTAAGTTAGAGAAAGTATCTGGCATTCTGTAATGGTTAGAATATCAAACTAGGGTTAGATGAAGACAGTTTCAAATTCTTGCTCGTCTTTGAAACTCATTCTGCAGCTTTAGGCCATCTGCCATTTTTCTGTCTTAGGACCCTTCCACACAGTCCTATATCCCAGGATATCAAGGCAGAAAATCCCCCATTATCTGAGTGTGGACTCAGATAACCCGGTTAAAGGCAGATATGGTGGGATTTTCTGCCTTGATATTCTGGGATATAGGGCTGTATGAAAGGCCCCGCACTTACCTAGTGAGCCCTTGGAATCTTGTGTTTAGCCCCAGGACCTCCTGTGAATACCAAAATCCATGAATGCTCAAGTCCCATTGTATTCCACAGCACAGTATAAAATAGCAAAACCAAGATTTGCTTTTTGGATTTATATAAAAAAAATCAAGCTATCTACAGTTAAATCCATGGACACAAAATCTGGATACAGAGGGACAGGTTTTTTTTGTTTCTATTATTGCCTTGGAGGTGGCATGATATAGACATATGCAAGATTTCTCTTAAAAGACAGTTATTTGAATTTCAGTTGCGAAAGGAGGAACGAAAACTCATCTATAAAAGAGCCCAGGCCTACCACAAAGAGTACAGACAGATGTACAGACGAGAGATTCGCATGTCCCGAATGGCCCGCAAAGCTGGCAATTACTATGTACCTGCTGAACCCAAGCTGGCATTTGTGATCAGGATCAGAGGGTAAGATGGACTAATATGTTTATTGAGCTCAGCAACACTACTCCTAAATGCTTTAGTTGAGAAAATAGTATTGTGAAACACTGTTCAAATACTGCATGTTGAAGCTGATTTTAAAATTGAAATGAATCAGAATAGAGTTGGAAGAGGCTACATGTATTTCTTTTGTAGAAATATATTTTAATATAAATATTTATAAAATCTTTACAATTACTATGTTTCAACTACGCTGTAACCCGCCAAGAAGAGAGGAGGGTAAGAAATAAAATTATTATTATTGCATGGGCCATCTGGCCCAGCCCCCTGCCATGCAGGAAAAACATAAATATATTAGGTGAGATGATCGGACTTGATTTCTTTATTATAAGACTCTTGTAATAAAGCTTGGAATATTACAGCAGGTAGTAGATCGCAACCTGTTACCTCCTTTCATTTTGCTTCTTAAAAATAAATACAGTCTCCATCTAGCCATTTCCCATTCTTTGCTCTGTTTACTGTACTGCAATTGGCATGTTCTTAACATTTTTTTGACTTCATAAAGAGCTTTATAAGTAATCACAAGATACTGTGATACAGCAAGTAAAACTTTCAAAGGCTCAGAAAAGTGCAGATGTATTCATTGGGAGATTTTTATTTAGTTATTGAATGTATAGCCTACCTTTCTCTTGAGATCGAATCCAAGCTAGTTGATAATGATGATAAAATTGAGCACTTAGTTCAAAGTATTTATTTACTTTTAAAGACCCAAGCAGCCTGGGACCCAAATACCTGAAGGAGCACCTCTTTAAATTCCAATCTTCATGTTTGTTGTCTTGTGAGTCCTTAAATATAATTTTAAACAATTTTTAAAAAGCTTTTTGTGATGATGTTTCTAGCTTGAAGTGTCTGAATTCTTGACTCAACCCCGATCCTTTTAAAAACATGTTCTAATGGGTTTCCTGATTTTATGTAATTAAGTATAATATAATTTTCAGCATATACTATGGAATAAAATAATTTGTAAAATGTATCAGATGTGTATTTGCAGAGGTATAAATGTTTCCCTGCAATAGCAATCCATCTTTGGTCATCACTCTATAACTCAGAGGTTCTCAACCTTTGGGCCTCCAGGTGTTTTGGACTTCAACTCCCAGAAATCCCAGCCAGTTTACCAGCTGTTAGGAACCGTGGGAGCTGAAATACAAAATGCCTGGAGGCCCAAAGGTTGGGAACCATTGCTCTATAACTTTTATTGCTTTTAGATTTTTATTTATGTTAAATTATTTATCAAATTTTTTGATAAAATGTTGAAATGACTTTATAGATTATTCTGACAGTTTTTCAGTTCAGTAATATAGCAAATATACATCTTTATTGCTGCTTAGCAAAAAACCTGTATGTTCAGTTATTTTTATTGCACCATATATTTTGCCTAATGGAATAAAAATGTTTCATTGAAATATTTGATATAAATGTGAGTTGTGTTAAATTTTTTACTTTTTAGAATTAATGGCGTTAGTCCCAAGGTTCGCAAGGTATTGCAGCTCCTTCGTTTGCGTCAGATTTTCAATGGCACATTTGTGAAACTCAATAAGGCATCCATTAATATGCTGAGAATTGTTGAACCTTACATTGCATGGGGGTAAGTTGGATCTTGAATTCAGTTGTTGTTCTATGAGTATCTTGCTGAGAGTTTTATACACAAAGTTTAAGGTTGCTGAGGAGGTTGTGGGTGAGATTTGGAGGATGTGAGTTTAAAATCTAATTTTAATTGTATTTTAATTAAATTTTAACTTTATATCCATCCACTAATATTTAGTTGTTTATTTTTAAAAATGTATTTGTTTTGTTTGAAATAGTTATTACATTGCAGGATAGTTGGCTACCTTGAGTGCCTACGGGGAGAAAGGCGAGATATAAAATTAATAATTTTTCACAGTTCCACTTGTGTTTATGGGAAATTATCTCTGGCTACAACTAGGAGTTTTACCTTTTACCAGCAGACTGGAAATCATGTCTCTGGCTTTTTAGAACAGTATCACAGAAATATGTTAGTCTCTAAATGAGCCAGAATTGTGTAGTGGTTAGAACATTGGACAACTCTGGGGATCAGAGTTCAGATCTGTTCTTGGCCATGGAAACCTACTGGGTGAGATTCTCTCAGTCTCAGAGAATGGCCCTTCTAAGCAAAACTTGCCAAGCAACCCTTAGGGTTCATAAGTCGGAAATAATTTGAACACACAACACCATAACCAAAATTGTAAAAATAGCATTGATACATAGGTACATTGATACATAGGTACATTTAGCTCATCTTTGACTTTTGAGGGAAAGAATAAGTTCTATCATTTTTATCCTTTGCTACCATTCCACAAGCAAGCCAAAGTATACATAATTGAAACAAACACATTTTGAACTATTTTACCATGTTCCCACCCCATCTCTTATTTTCTCCATGTCAGTTTTTGCAATGTAATTGTCAGGAATATTGACTTGTTCCTTTGTTCTTAGAGTGATTTGTGGTACAGATTTTTCTTTCCCAACCTGGCCCCTTCTAGATGTTCAGTTGGGGGAGCTGATATATTATGGTGATGTTGACAACATTAATTGTATTTCTGTATATGAAAAGAGAAAGGCCTGGTGTCTTTGAAGTGATCTTTGAAAAACAGCTCTACTTTTCACCTACCATCCAGCTGCCTTCCTATTATACAAATGTGTGAGCTCAGATTTCAGTTTGGAGTTCGGTTTTTTAGATCATAGAGGTGATCCTGGCCATCTGTGAAGTTTCAGGCCTGGATAAATATTAGGGAAAATGTAGTCATTCATTCACAAAATCTAGGTGTTAACCATACTTGGTGCTGTTCAACATACTGGGCTACATTGCACATTTATTAAATAGTTTTGATAGGTACACTCTCAGTGAGTGTGGTAGTGCCATATAGCAGGTATAAGTAGAATGCCTTCCAGCTTTGAAGCTGTTGTATTGATCAGAAATGGTCCTGGTAAGCCTATATAGTATGTTCCTCCAATCTTAATTTGGAGGAACACTGGTGGCAAGGGTTGAATAGATCTTGCCTGCCATTTCTTACAACAAATGGAAGTGATGTTGCAGTCTTTGCTTAGTATGAACACTGGTAAAATTCTCAATGTTCCTTATTTTTATACATAGGAGAGAGAAATGGAGAGTAGAAAGAGGCAGCAGTTACTTCTGAATTCCTTTTGTTCAGTGTTGTCTATAACTGCAGTGCTTCTTCCTATCTTGCTATCAATTAAGTTGAGATGAGGGGTTCTTTTCGCTTAGTTGGAGTTGTTAGATTCTGCTCAGCTGATAGCAAGAATCTGATAACCAGAGTTTTTGACTTGGCTTAGCTAGTGTAGCTAATCTTGCAAATCCCTGTAAATGGTATTTATTCTTAATATTGAAAACCCTTTTAAAAACACAATTTACTGTCTTGTTCATTATGGCCAAAACAAGTTAATCATAGCCTGAACTTACTGAGAGCAACGAGAAATAGAGTCCCAAGCAGAGGGCACCGGTTTGGGGAAGCTTGATCTAGAATTTTATAAAGTTCTATTAGGGAAAACTGCATTCAGCTTGTTACTCAGCTGCAAAAGTCACATCCTTGTAAGCCTGGAATTCTGATAGCTTGGTCTCGCATATTGGCAGTGGCATACCTTTGACATGTGCATTTATGTACACTGAGTAGCTTACAAATATAAAACTTTACTCAAGTTATATGTCTTCTCTTTTTTCTAGTTATCCTAACTTGAAATCTGTGCATGAACTGATTTACAAGCGTGGCTATGGGAAGATCAACAAGCAGCGCATCCCTTTGAGTGATAATACTCTGATCAAGAAATCCCTGAGTATGTACTGTTCTGTTTTTGGTAGTCATAATGCTTTAACACCTATTATTTTAAGGGAAGGGTGGTTTAATCTGCAAGCTTGTTGAATAGTTCTGTGTTGCTTATTCTAGAATATATTTTTTCAATTCCACTGGCCACCTTTTTTGCTATTATGTAATACCTCTGTTTAGATGCTGAACCAAACTATTTCTTATTGCTGCTGTGCATGTAGTGCAGTTTTTATTTTGCAGTATTCCTAAGATGAATCTTATACTTAGCTATTATTACAGATGGGTAGACGGTAATTTTCCTTTGGAAGAAAAAGTGGTGTGGTTAAGAGGATGGCTTTAGAATGTCATATTCGAGGCCCAGCATGTTAGTCTTTGTAATAGTACTGTGTAATTTTGGCTAGCTAAAGTGCCTTTTCCGAAAGACGAACCAGATACAGATAACATATAATTGAATTATTAACAATGCTGTGTTCCTATAGTAGCAAAGTATTTTCCAATGTAAAGAGATGTAATGCTCAATTTTTTTCAATTTTGTGTGTGTGTGTGGGGGGGGGGAATCCCAAAATTCGCAGAAATTTTATACCTGTTAGAAATGATAATCAAAATTTTCAGAATATTCTGAAATGGATTTTTCATTGAAAATATACATGTACTATTTTTTTGCAAATTCAATTATAGTTCTCTATTATAAAATATTACAGTAAAATGCCTTTATGTTGTCCAAGTAGCAATTAGTGAAGACTACCTCCATTAATTAAGAATCTGTGTTAAGTAGAAAGCGTAGTCTCCACTTCTGTTGATGTTTTTGTTAGTTGGGATTATGGAAGATGTTTATGAGAAGGAGAAGATAATGCAGACAAGTGTCACCTTTGGCAGGGCATTTATTGGGATGTCCAACTTTGTGTAACGGGCAGAAATAAGGCATTGCCAGCACTCTACACAGTTACCGATTGCACAGATGAAATTTTTGTTTTTGTTTTTACATCTTTCCCTGCGAAAAAGAAAAGATAATTTAATCCCGACCAAGAATTTAGCTTTTTCAAAAAGCTCCCCAGTGTCCCTTGCAAAATACTAATGTAGGGCAAGGATTCAAGGAAATTGCCTTCCATTAGGTTTTTGCTGGAGACATCAGAGTGGTATAGCTGGTGCATTCAGCTAAAGCTTCATTTCTAGCAGAGACACATTTCTTCTCCTTCCTGTTCTTGAGAAAAGAAAGGTGTCCCCAGTTGGTCTTTGGGAGAAAGTGCCAATAGCAATGTCTCCCTGTTGCCTACTACACAAAAAGGGAAAAAAGAGAACAACAGGAAGGGAAAGAGATTATTCTTTGTATCCTAGGGAGAAAGAAAGGCTGTTTAGTTTCCATGTTTCTGACAAGCTTTTGCAGAAAGTGGCAATGGGATACTGCTGGTCCTTTTTAAAGGAAATGGGATGGCAGATGAGAGACATTCCTACATGATGTACAGATGTGGCAAGCATTCACATTTAGTTAACAAGTGGATTTATCAAGATCAGCTAAGAGATCCTTTCTCCAGCAACTTCTATACTAAGCATCATTAGTGATAAACACCTGGACAAAAATCCAAATATATTACTAAAATGTTAAAATATGTAACTATTATGAATGCACTGCTTGAGCATTTTTAATAGAAAGGCATAAAATACTATTGGAAACCAAAAAGAAACAACGAAGCTGTACAACACAATAGTTGCCTAGCACATACTGATCAGCATCCTGGTAGCGACTTGCATACATGTAAGTCCCTTGTTGGATAGGGGTAAAAGTTGTTTTCTTGCCCTTGTACACTGGCTAAAAGCCCCTACAACCCAGCAAATACCAAGCCCTGGGAGAGGAGTCCCTATTACATGCAGTCTATTGCTTCTATGAGGGGAGGTGTGTGCGTGTGAAAGAGAGACAATTCACACCATGTAGATCTGGCTGCTCTGGATTCCCAGAGGGAGGAAAGGGCAGGTGCACTCCATTTGAGAATAGATCTCCATTTCTTCCATCCCAACCAAGCTGAGGCCAGCTGTTTGTTAATGGATGTGTGTATCACCACCTCCTCCCCATTGAGAAGTAAGAGCAACAAGGGCCCCTTCCCTGGCTTGACAGCTGCCAGGCAATGGGAAGATGTAGAACTGTATGTATGGAGCTACACACAGATGTAGAATCTTGTTCTTTAAATGTTTAACTGATATTTCATTTGCAAAAGCTGCTCTGTTGAGCACAATTGTAGAAGCTTAGACTTTTTAAACACTGTCTTAGTTTGTGTCAGAGGCTTCTTGCCTGTTTCTTTCTCTTAGCCATTAAGTTGCTCCAACCTAGTTCTTATTTAGCATTAAAAATATAGGAACTCCTACCCCATATTTTTATTGATTAGAAAGACAAACATTAGTATCCTCAGAAATATGGTTTCAATCAGTGTAATGACACTTTGATTTAGTGGCAGAATGTCTCTTAGTTCCTGTAGAGGCCACTGTGGTGCAGTTTATGAAACTAGGTTTCCTCATGCAAGAGTCCCTTTTTGGATGTGAAATTCTCAATAGGTGACCTGGCTAAGCAAGTCTTTCAGCCCAATTTATGACAAGATAGCTATGGAAGGAAATCAGAGCACTAAAAAGGCTAAACATTTCTTGACTTCTGTTATAGAAAAGTGTGGCATCATTTGCATGGAAGATCTGATCCATGAAATCTATACCGTTGGCAAAAACTTCAAAGCAGCAAACAACTTTCTGTGGCCATTCAAGCTGTCATCTCCACGGGGTGGAATGAAGAAGAAAACCATTCATTTTGTAGAAGGTGGAGATGCAGGAAACAGGGAAGACCAGATCAACAGGCTCATAAGAAGGATGAATTAATAATGGTATGATATATGTGGATAACTATGTTTTTTAAACTATTAAAATATATATTTCACCTAAATAAATGAATGTATAGTGATGCTTTCACTTTTTTATCATGTACAAAGCAGCTGTACTGTATTTTATACATCTACAGAACCATTATTTTAAATTAGTAGCATCTGTAAAAAATATGAATGTCTATGGGTTTGGATTCAGTTTCTGTGAACAGAATTTTGCTCTTATGATCTTGCTTGAAGAAGTGTAATAATATTTGATAATTCCCTCTTGCTAGCCTATATTTATGTGTTTTTATAAGTGCAGAAAGAAACTCAGAGCAAAAGCTTTTTACAGTATTTACGCTCTCAAAAGGTGTATGAATTAGCCTTGAGCTTTGTTCATGTGTTTGTTGATGGCGAAGGTATCCAAAGGACCTATGACTATCTTTGGCTGCATTTGGTTAAAAGAACTCTATAATCAGTCAAAAAAATTGATGCAGTAGAATACCTGATTGTATGAAGCTCTGTAACAACATTCAGCCAAACACAATTACAGTGCCTTTGTCGATTTTCTGTATCACATTTGCATGTGTGTTTGGAGAAAGCAGAGTTGGAACATTACACACTGACTAAACAAATGAACCAAAAAAAAAAAAAAAAAAAACCCCACCCGGAAATGCTTTGGGTTCATTCATCCAACTAGCTTCCACGAAGATGTGTACAGTAGAGGACCAGTTTTTCCAAGCACTTTCAGCCTGACAGGGAATGTATGCTTAGTTGTCCTAGTGGGGCAGCAGTTACTTTATATGTATATAGTATTCACTTTGCTTCATAATTAGGGAGCTAGCTGGCAGTTTCAGAAGCATAAATTAAGGCATTTTAAAAAATTAGGTGGTTTTGCATCATTAGCATTCTTTGGCAGATTGAAGATGGATTTCCACTCTTACTGCAGAAGTCACATTTCATTATTACTTAGGTGTACCAGATTGGCTTTGTGGATATTGTAGAATTGTAATTATTAAATGTGTTTTAATGCCAAATAATAGCAAAATTTTACTAAACTAGACTTGCAAATCTATAATACTTACAAGTCCCCAAATTCTAGGAAGTTGTAAACCATAGAGAGGGGGGGGGGGAGATAGAATTTTATAATGCTGTCTAGCTGACTGGAAATACTTTTTAATTGAGATGAGATTTATTCACACTGCCACTTTTGTGCAGAAACTACAAATGGTGGATGGCTTATGTGAGAGTTTTAAAAATGAAAAAAAAAGTTTTGTTATGTATGTAAAATCATTGAAGTAATTTATGTTGCACCTTATGTGTTGGTCTTTAATCTTAATTTATCTTCTTTTCTAGGAGCTCAGATGATGACTTCTCCATGCATTCTTAATAAAAAAAAGAACTTTCGTGCAAATACAAATTTGTTCCTCCTTGTCTTCAAATTGTCAGTGAAACAGTACTTTTGAAACCTTTCTAATATAATTAAATATTGATTAATTCACAAACGATTAAGATTGTCATTGAGAAATCCCAAACTAACAACTGAGTAAAGCACTGATCAGTATGTAAATAGTACCTATGTTGAAACCCTACAGTGCACAAGAACTCTGCAGACTTTTGACCTGTAGCTACATCAGCATTTATGTTGTGTATAATTCCATATTGGCTAAGTAGTATGGGATAAAGTAAGGATGTAGAATCTTAAATGAATTGCCCATTGATGTTCTTATTCATGGTTGTTGAAGTAAGATATCTGCTTGAATAACACATTAGTTAAAATAAGTCAAATGCAAGATGCCTTGTCAGTGCTTAAGTTCAGCACCAGTGTAATGATAGCATATGCTATCATTACCAACCCAAGATCTCAGATATGCATACTTAGTATTCTGGTTCCAGTCTAAAATTAGCTGTGCTTGAGTTGTACAAAATTAATGTCTCAATTAAGCATGCTGACTTCTTTGCCTCGGTTTTCTCACAAAAAGAGAGTCTTCAACCTCAGCAAGATGGAGTGGATGAGGGATTGGAGGACATCCAACCCCAAATTGGGAAACAAGTCGTCCAGGAATACCTGGCCGCTCTTAATGAGTTCAAGTCCCCAGGGCCAGATCAACTACACCCCAGAGTATTGAAGGAACTAGCGGAAGTCATTTCGGAACCATTGGCAACCATCTTTGAGAGTTCTTGGAGAACGGGAGAAGTTCCAGCAGAATGGAGGAGGGCCAATGTGGTCCCAATCTTCAAGAAGGGAAAAAAGGATGACCCAAACAACTACCGTCCGGTCAGCCTCACGTCGATACCGGGCAAGATTCTGGAAAAGATTGTTAAGGAAGCGGTCTGCAAACACTTAGAAACAAATGCAGTCATCGTTAATAGTCAACATGGATTTATCAAAAACAAGTCATGCCAGACTAATCTGATCTCTTTCTTCGATAGAGCTACAAGCTGGGTAGATGCGGGGAATGCCGTGGAGGTAGCGTACCTGGATTTCAGTAAGGCCTTCGACAAGGTCCCCCATGACCTTCTGGCAAGGAAACTAGTCCAATGTGGGCTAGGCAAAACTACGGTGAGGTGGATCTGTAATTGGTTAAATGGACGAACCCAGAGGGTGCTCACTAATGCTTCCTCTTCATCCTGGAAAGAAGTGACGAGTGGAGTGCCGCAGGGTTCCGTCCTGGGCCCGGTCCTGTTCAACATCTTTATGAATGACTTAGATGAAGGGCTAGAAGGCATGATCATCAAGTTTGCAGACGACACCAAATTGGGAGGGATAGCCAATAGTCCAGAGGACAGGAGCAGAATTCAAAATGATCTTGACAGATTAGAGAGATGGGCCAAAACTAACAAAATGAAGTTCAACAGTGACAAATGCAAGATACTCCACTTTGGCAGAAAAAATGAAATGCAAAGATACAGAATGGGGACGCCTGGCTCGAGAGCAGTACGTGTGAAAAAGATCTTGGAGTCCTAGTGGACAACAAGTTAAACATGAGCCAACAATGTGATGTGGCGGCAAAAAAAGCCAATGGGATTTTGGCCTGCATCAATAGGAGCATAGTGTCTAGATCTAAGGAAGTAATGCTACCCCTCTATTCTGCCTTGGTTAGACCACATCTGGAATATTGTGTCCAATTCTGGGCACCACAATTCAAGAGAGATATTGACAAGCTGGAATGTGTCCAGAGGAGGGCGACTAAAATGATCAAGGGTCTGGAGAACAAGCCCTATGAGGAGCGGCTTAGGAGCTGGGCATGTTTAGCCTGAAGAAGAGAAGGCTGAGAGGAGATATGATAGCCATGTATAAATATGTGAGAGGAAGCCACAGGGAGGAGGGAGCAAGCTTGTTTTCTGCTTCCTTGGAGACTAGGACGCGGAACAATGGCTTCAAACTACAAGAGAGGAGATTCCATCTGAACATTAGGAAGAACTTCCTGACTGGGAGAGCCGTTCAGCAGTGGAACTCTCTGCCCCGGAGTGTGGTGGAGGCTCCTTCTTTGGAAGCTTTTAAACAGAGGCTGGATGGCCATCTGTCAGGGGTGATATGAATGCAATATTCCTGCTTCTTGGCAGGGGGTTGGACTGGATGGCCCATGAGGTCTCTTCCAACTCTTTGATTCTATGATTCTATGACTTCACTGAAACCTAGGCTTTACAATTTTGTACTTTCCTTTGTACTACATCCCATTGACGTAGGATCTCGGATGTTACTTTTGAAATACTTTTATTCTGTTATTCTCAGAATACGTTTATTCTGTTATTCTCCTAGATCGGTTTACAAGGATTAGAAAGGGATCTAACATATATCCATTTCTATCTACTGGTATATACTGATGTGCTGCTAGTGGGATATAATATACAGTCTTTAACGGGTGGTGGTGGGCCCTGGACAACAAATCAGTTATTTTTAGGTAGTTGGAGTAGAATTAGTTCTCAAAACTTAATATCAAATCTCAGGTATTTATAGGCGAGCACAAATTATGCACAAATGGTAATGTTGCCTGAAGGCAGGAAGACCTAACTAGGAATTGTGGAAATCCCTTCTAAAACAGATAAGAATACCATAATTGCACTGGAGGGAATTGTCCAGAGCAAGGCAGCCTTCCAGCTGGTTAGAAGCTACATAGCATCATACCTAGAAGGCAGCCCAGAAGAACAGTAGAGGTAGATATTGCTATGTGGCTATCAGGGACTTACGTGAAGAGGGTTTTTTTTTTTCTTGTCTTCTGCTTTGGATTCTTCCATTGTGCAGATATTTAAAATTCTGTGCATAGGAGGAACCATTCTGTATTTATGTGTAGCAGTTCATAGTACTAGTGAATGAAAGAATTGGGTGTATGGGAATTGGTTAAGCAACTTGTTGACATTCCAGCCTATACAACCCACGGGAGTGTCTGTCTGCAATCATCTTTCACTGCATATCAGCCGTCCTCCAGTGAAACAGTCTCTAAGCCCTTCCGGGGGGGCATTGATCCTACACACCGGTTGTGTACTACCATCACTCTTTCCATTCCCCCAGGAATGACCGCTTGCCATTTACGTTGCCACATGCTTTCTTTGCCTCTGACTGACTGCTCCTCTGCATCGGTGTCTGTTTTCTTCCTCTTCCCTTTGACAACCAATGCCATCTTGGAAGAAAAGGGATCCTTTGCACACCCAGTGACACCGAGGGAAAGTTCAAAATACTCCAAGAAAGGAACAGCTGCCGGCAATGCCAAATTCAAGGTGATCCACCATGCAGTAGTGCGGCAATACACAGTAGTGAAGCGGACAACCCAGAGAATCTCTGGGTCTAGAGAAGGTCAGGGTATGAATAATCAAAGTAAAATTCACTGTATAGAAAAATTAAATTAACCAACATTGCAAATTTTCATTTCAGCTCCCCTGTTATGAAAGCCCAACGCATACGCCACCTCTCCCGGGCACCGCAGTGATGTTGCCTGCCAGACTGGAAATTGAACTTCTGACTCTACCCAAAGATAGGGAACCAGGATTAGAAACCTCCGAACCAACTAACACCTACTGGTTCACGGGGGGTTGGAGAGGGACGGCAGAGATGCAGTGAAAGATAAATGCACACATGACATCCGGAAGTGGCCCTGGTTTTTGCAGAAGGCCAATTAGCCCGCAGTCAGCAGGTGTAAGTACTTTGAGGTAATAGAAAGCAAAGCACACTGGTTTTTGCAGAAGGGCTTGACCCCAAAGGGCCAATTAGCCCGCAGTCAGCAGGTGTAACTACTTTGAGATTAAAAGAAAGCAAAGTCTTTGAAAGTTTCTGATTGTAAGTAACACACTCTACCCAAAGATAGGGAACAAGGATTAGAAACCTCCGAACCAACGAACACCTACTGGTTCACGGGGGGTTGGAGGGGGACGGCAGAGATACACTGAAAGAGAAATGCACACATGACAACCGGAAGGGGCCCCGGAATGACGGTTCCCCTGTTATGAAAGCCCAACGCATACGCCACCTCTCCCGGGCACCGCAGAGACGTTGCCTGCCAGGCTGAAAAGTGAACTTCTGACTCTACCCAAAGATACAGGGAGCAAGGATTAGAAACCTCCGAACCAACAAACACCTACTGGTTCACGGGGGGGTTGGAGGGGGATGGCAGAGATGCAGTGAAAGAGAAATGCACACATGACAACCGGAAGGGGCCCCGGGAATGACAGCTCCCCTGTTATGAAAGCCCAACGCATACGCCACCTCTCCCGGGCACCGCAGTGACGTTGCCTGCCAGGCTGGAAATTGAACTTCTGACTTTACCCAAAGATAGGGAACCAGGATTAGGAACCAACGAACACCTACTGGTTCACGGGGGGTTGGAGGGGGATGGCAGAGATGCAGTGAAAGATAAATGCACACATGTCATCCGGAAGGGGCCTTGGTTTTGGCAGAAGGCCAATTAGCCCGCAGTCAGCAGGTGTAACTACTTTGAGATTAAAAGAAAGCAAAGTCTTTGAACGTTTCTGATTGTAAGTAACAGCACTCAAAGGGGAAACCTAATCAACATAGGATGTACTTTGATGGCACTAGGAGTGAGGGGTACAGGCCAAAATACCAACTAAGGGAACGTAAGGCAAGCAAGGAAAATTTAAGGACCAAAAAAAGAGGAAAATTGGATTGACCCCTTGGGCCAATGAGCCCACAGTCAGTGGTTGTAACTACTTTGAGGTAACAGAAAAGCAAAGGACACTTTTTTGCAGAAGGGATTGACCCCTAGGGCCAATGAGCCCGCAGTCAGTGGTTGTAACTACTTTGAGGTAACAGAAAAGCAAGGGACACTGTTTTTTTGCAGAAGGGATTGACCCCTTGGGCCAATGAGCCCGCAGTCAGTGGTTGTAACTACTTTGAGGTAACAGAAAAGCAAGGGACACTGTTTTTTGCAGAAGGGCTTGAACCCTAGGGCCAATGACCCTGCAGTC